GCTGGTGAAAATATAGCTTGCCATCACATGAATAAATTACATTTCAGAATATATTAAAATAAAACAAAATATGTAATAATATTACACAATATTAAAAATGTTACTGTATTTTTGATCAAATAAATGCACCCTTGTGCATAAGATACTTTTGACCTGTAGTGTAGAAATATATATATATATATATATATATATGTTTTGATTTTTGTCCCTGAAATGGAGGCCTTTTTTCTTTTATCTCTTCAATTTCATTATGCTTTGTATTAAGATTTTATATTTGAAATCGCCCAAATCATGTCTTAATGTCAGTGGATACTGCTATCAACCAAACACTGCAGATGAGACCGCTACCCTTTTCATTGAATGAGAATGAACACGCAGACTTGCAACTCTTTAAGCGAGTCAAATCAAATTTCCACACTTTGTTGAATTAACAATGAAAAAGACATGCCATACAATGCTGTGGCATTTTACATACACGTCCACATTTCTGTGGATTATTTAATAGGCTGACATTTTGCAAAAGGTCTTGGCCTTTATGGACTGAGTCGTTTCCTCCAATGTCAATTTTTCAGCTGTTAAATTCCAGCCACCAGGAAGAGAGGCCAAAGGGGATGCCAGGAGAGGATGACTTATCAGCCAGATAAATTGATTCACATTGGGTTGGTCCTTCTGTGTGCCACTCTTCACCTGACCCCTTAAGGCCTAATCAATGGATCCTCGGAGGCACAATCTGCCAAATGCTTGGGTCCTCAAATACCTGACTCTGAACACCCCAGGAGATCAAAGTTTGGCTGGTAAGCATGGCCCAGTTTGCCCCTGATGGTAGATGCTGTAACCCCAGTCAAACAACTACAAATGAGGCTTTGTCTACATTAATCCAGACACATTTGAAAACTGTTTTAGTTTCAAAACAGTAGCATTTTCAAGCGTTTTCCTAAAGTCTAAAATCATCTTACTACATGTGCAAGACAAAAATGCTCTCTCAGTGGAGATGTCCCTCAAGTGGAGTCAGAAATATCATAATTACAAGTTCCGAGCACACGAAGGACCAAACAAAATAATTTATAAGTGGGAAACTCAGAAACATAGATGATACACGAGTTGCTGATTTGTGATGTCATAAGAGTCATATTAATTTGAAACATAGCTGAAAGCAAGTTTGTTGTGAATGGTAATGGTAAAAGTTTTATTTTAATGTTGCAGTATTTACATAGAACAGCATATATATCATATAAGTGTAAGGGATCCACTGGAGGCAAGTTGTAGATAGAACCCAAATGCAGTTTAATATTAAAAAACATAACAAGATCAAACAAAAGCATGACGTGGCATGAAACAAAAACCATGGACATAGACTTACTCAAACAATGGTCACAGGAAACAATACTTGATAAAGACACATGGCAAACATGAGGGCTTAAATCCACAGACTAATGACAAGACAAGGGACACCTGAACAATGAACAGACGATTAACCAATGACAAGACACATGGCAGGATCACATGACAAACAGGGAATCACATGACATGACATGGGACATGACATGAACAAACCAAAACATGACAGAGACAAGACCAAATCGTGACGATAAGTGATGACAATGAAGCATTTCCATTATTTTAGATTTAGATGCAGGTATTTAGGTTTATTAATCTCAATAGAAACTATGTTTAGAGTAACAATTTGAGTGAACATTTTAGTTAAAACCTTGTGAATATCAGCATATCATTGTTTGATTTTTGTTTTAATTGCAGCGGCATTTAAGCTTCAAACTCCACAAGTAAAACCAGATGATCACAGAGTTTCACTGGAAGCAAGAATATGACTTTCTGTACAGAGACACAAGATCAATATTACAAATTTACCTATTTGATTAGTGACTTAGAAATAGTGCTGAATCAATGTTATGTCATAACTTTTTTTTTTAAATCCCAGATTTCGATGTGGTCTCAACCTGTGTATATATTTTGATAATGACTTCTTATTTAGATTAATAGATTGTGCTCATTTTATCAGATGATTCTGTCATTCATAAAATATTGACTTTGAGAGGACTTGAGAACATTATGCAGCAGATATGATGAGACCTCATTTGATACAAATTTTCTCTCTCCCTCTTTCTCCCTCTCTCTTGATCGGATCTTGTCCAGCCCGTCCTCTGTTCCTCTCACTTGCTCTCTTTGTTTCTTTTGTCTTTCTTCTTTGCTTGCTACATAATCCAAACACGTTTCAAGTGAAGAGATCATTTTCTCTGGCATTAGTTACAACAAAGAAAATGAGATACTGAGATCTTTTAGGTTGGCCTATATGTATCTTTCACCTTTCTTCGCTATCATTAAAGCCAAGGAAGCCACACATCATCAAAATAACAGCTGAACTGAAAGGGTTTCTAGAGAGAAAGGACCTTTATACATGAGTTATTTATGAACCCTTTAAGACAATTCTCATGACGACAAGGACAGAATTGAGATAATGAGTTTAGCCGCTGGCTCCTTTTTATCATATCAACGCCTGTAAAACGCAGAAGACTATTTGCATATGAATGAGCTGATTCATAAAACTCACTGTTGCATACATTGTTTGCACAGAGATGTTTAATCCATCGCAAAGTTGGATATCAAGTTCAAATATTGGTCATCCACTTGCTTGAGATAATTTATTTTACAATAAGCAATACACAAGGACTTAAAGGACAATTTTGCTGCCCTTCAGAGTTGTTTCTAGTCAGGGGTGCGTTTTCCAAAAGCATCGTTGGCCAACTATGATCGCAATTTCTATTGAACTCTATTGGTAACGATGGAACGTGCGACCATGGTTGGCTTTGGGAAACGCTTTCTGTAGCAAACTCAAAATACATTGCTCTCCAAAACGATTGTCATGCCCAACATGTTGAAGATTAGCAGCAAAACATGCTGAAGATTAGCAAAGATTAGCACAGCAAATTGTTTCCACACAAAAGCTGTTTATTCAGAGTACTGAGGCATCTCTTCTATTGACTTCCCTTCAAACTAAGCAGCCTCCGGTTTCCCTGTTGTCCATTACGCCTTTTTTAAGAATTCTATATTTTGCTGAGGTTGGTTGTAGTTGGTAAGCTGATTATGTCATCATTTGCTGCGCTCCTATTGGTTCTTAAGTCGAGAGAAAATTCAGACACTGTCTGATCTCATTGGGCCTCATTTCTCAATCTAACGTAGAAACATGCGCAGATGGGATTCACAAAACATTCGTATGCCGCCAATCCCACGAATGTTCGTACATTGATATATGTGGCGGCTGAAAACAATCGTCATTTAAATATCACACCCTCAAATTCACGATTTAGAAGCCTCAGTCCTAGAGTTTACAACATGGAGAAACCTAACCCTGCTTAACACCCATTAACCTCACAATTGCAAACAATTACATTAATTTATATCTATATTAAATACCGGTAAATAAATCGAAACATTTACAAACACTATAGCCTTACATCACTCCACAACAAATCCTTTAAATTTAACGGTCAGAACAGAACAAGGATGAAAAAAAGTAGGCTATAGCTATAAATTATTAAACTAGCAAATAAAACACAAATTATATGGCCTTCATTATAAACAACATACAAACATCAAGACAAAATGAATTTATTTAAAGCCAAACTGAAACGGAATTGGGCTCACCTCTCTTATTCGTCAAGAATCCAAATATGTTTTTGCCATGTAACATTTGGTTGCTAAACTATTATTCATTATGTAATCAAGGCGTTGTACTTCACTCGTGTTAGAAGTACACTACACATAAACTTCATCTTCAGAGCTGCTTTGAGAATCAATCCACAAGCATTTTCCCATTTTCATTTGATAAAAATATTGTCTGCTAACCACAGAAACTCAAAGGTCTTCGCTATAATTCGGCAAAATATAAATTCGGTCTAACTTGATAATTATGGAAAAGCTAAATTCAAGTTCACCCTGCTATAGTTTACTTCAGAGCTCCAAATGTAATCCAAGATCCAGTTTTGCATTATAATATATTTTCCCTCAAAAGTCCAATAAAGTCTGTCCGTCTACTAATGAGTATATCCACAATATGATTACATAGTAACCTAATAGCCTACACTAAGTTCTCAGTACTTACTGCAAATACACAGCACTTTAATAAGAAGTGTGACCAATATGTGTTCTGGATGTAAGTGTGTCCGTGTCCGCTGCTCTCTGAAATGGAGACTAATGGGTGGCTCGTCTGGGCCTGACAAGCCCTGAGGACCAGTGTTCATACTCCTTGCGTCTGTCATCCATCATATTTCACGCGCTCTGATGTGAGGAAATGGTGCTAAGCTAAGCGCCGTTGGGACGAGACCCGGCTCCACTAGCAGTTTCTGCGAATCTACACCTTCACCAAAGTTACAGGACACACAACATTAGGAGTCGCTCCCAAAGACCATTACCCTTATGTCCCTAGAGACACCCAGTTATTCACAGGCGAACACAATAGACATTGTTACATACAAAAATAATCTTGTCTATTATTGTGGTAGGAGGTGATTATATACTTTCCTTTCAAATATCACTTTTCTGAACCCACTTCTGTTTATATGAAATTGAATTTGGCCACAGGCCATGTGGTGTGAGGATTTTATCTATTATATTTCTATTTGATCTCTGTAAAGTCAGCAGAACCTAAAATAGCAAATGAAGATAATATTACACCGTATAGGAGAATATGGTATTCAATAACTCATCATGCCTCTGGACATTCAACACTCATATATTACATATGGGCTACAGGTGTTTCTTCAACTTCAGGCACTTTTATGTAGGAGATGGTTAATTAAAACGAACATTTTTTTTTTTCTCTTTTGTAAATGTAAAATGTAAAAATATCATCATACTGTACTTTCAACATTTATTTTTCAAATGCCTTTTATGTATAGATTGTATACATATAAGTATATTCTGTATAGATTATTTTTTGGTTTAGACAGATTTTACTGCATGTTTAAAACTTTGACTATGATCAAAATGAAGTCAAGTCAAGTCACATTTATTTATATAGCGCTTTTCACAATACAGATTGCATCAAAGCAGCTTCACAGTGATAACATGAAAGTAGTACAACACAGTTCAATAATATTGTTGAATATTAAATATCCCCAACTAAGCAAGCCAAAAGCAAGGCGACAGTGGCAAGGAACCAAAACTCCATCAGATTGGATGGAGAAAAAAACCTTGGGAGAACCCAGGCTAGTCAGGGGCCAGTTCTCCTCTGGCTAACAATCATAGGGTTTTAAAGAAGCTTTACAGTAAGTGCATATCAGAGAGTACCTGGAAAAAATACATTTAGTTAATCATGTAATATTTAGGGGATAACATATCGCCGGCGTTGAGTCGTCTCTTCGCAGGCGTTGAGTCGTCTCTTCACAGGCGTTGGTCTTCTCATCACAGGCGTTGAGGCATCCGAAATCCCCGTGAGAGGCAGGATACCAAACTGGAGCCTACGAACGCCATTTTTCTCGGGACAAGCGTCCCGAGATAACAGCAGAAAGGCAGATGGGAAATAATTAGCATAGCTGATGTTCATAATGATTTCCATTACACGGGAGTAGGTGTTAGAAAACCATAATCTCACAACTCTCCGCAACCCAAACTCTCCGCAACCCAACCGCAACCATACGGACCGACCCGTTTGTCTATAAGGCTGTCGAGCCCCACTGGTGCGTTAAGCAGTTTCAGTGGCAAACGGTTCCGTATGGCATAGCAGAGGACTAAAAGGTAAGCATTATGTGAATGCTTGACTAAAGAGACACGTCTTTAGTCTAGTTTTAAACTGTGTCAGCGAGTCAGAGCATCGGACCGTATCGGGAAGGCTATTCCAGAGTTTTGGAGCTAAATGCGAGAATGCCCTCCCTCCTTTCGTGGACTTCGATATCCTAGGAATGACCAGAAGCCTTGAATTTAGTGATCTTAGAGAACGCGGTGGATTGTAGGGCGAAAGAAGGTCCGTTAAGTACATAGGAGCTAAACCATTAAGGGCTTTATAGGTCAGTAGTAGTACTTTGTAATTGATACGGAACTTAATAGGTAACCAGTGCAGAGATGATAAAATCGGTGTTATATGATCATATTTTCTTGATCTAGTAAGAACTCTAGCGGCTGCATTTTGCACTAACTGTAGCTTGTTTATTGAGGATGCAGGACAACCAGCTAATAAAGCATTACAGTAATCTAGTCTCGAGGTCATGAATGCATGAACTAACTTTTCTGCATCAGAAACAGATAGCATGTTACGTAATTTAGCAATGTTTCTAAGGTGGAAAAAGGCTGTTCTTGTAACAGATGAAATATGATTTTCGAAAGACAAGTTGCGGTCTAGTATAACACCCAGGTCTTTTACTGTAGTGGAAAAAGTAACAGGGCATCCTTCTATATTAAAGTCGTATTGTAAGAGGTTTTGTGTGTAGTTTTTTGGACCAATAAGTAATACCTCCGTTTTATCTGAATTTAATAGCAGGAAATTACGCGTCATCCAGCATTTTATATCTTTGAGACATTCTGTCAGTTTAGATGAGGTAATGTTTTCATCTGGTCGTGATGAAATATATAATTGAGTGTCGTCAGCATAACAGTGGAAATTAATTCCATGTTTTCTTATAATATTGCCAAGTGGCAGCATATATATTGAGAATAGCAGAGGGCCTAGCACCGATCCTTGCGGTACTCCGTAGTCTACTGACGTTAACTTTGATTTTCCCCCGTGTAAAGAGACAAAATGATAACGGTCAGATAAGTACGATCTAAACCAGCTTAATGCCTGTCCCTGAACACCAGTGTAGATTTGTAGTCGATCCAAGAGTATTTTATGATCTATAGTGTCGAACGCGGCGCTAAGATCAAGTAGGACTAGTATTGAGATACAGCCTTGGTCAGAAGCTAAGAGTAGATCATTTGTAATTTTAACTAGCGCAGTTTCTGTACTATGATGCGGTCTGAATCCTGACTGGAATTTTTCATAGATATCATTTTCTTGCAAAAAAGAGCACAGTTGAGCGGATACAACTTTTTCTAGTATTTTGGACATAAATGGAAGATTTGAAATGGGTCTGTAATTTGCTAGGTTATTTGGATCTAGTTGCGGTTTCTTAATGAGAGGTTTTATTACTGCCAACTTGAATATTCTTGGAACATGACCTAAGAATAAAGACGAGTTAATAATATTAAGAAGAGACTCAGAAGTGTGAAATACATTTTCAATATATTTGAAAAATTATTAATAAAAAAAAGGTCTGGCAGTTGAGTTACACCACAACAATTTTTTGCCACTTTTTCATAAGTTAGATGTTTGCTAAGAGACTGTACAAAAAACAAATTAGTTATGTACAAATTATGCAAGAATTTGTGCAAAAAATATTATTTGTGTGTATTTGTGTAATAAATAAACTGCTGTCATGGATATTAGCCTCAGCAAGATGAGTATGACAATTTATTACAAACATTTTTTTTCCACTACATTAAGGAAATGTTGGCAATTCCTTTAAAAAAAATATTATTTTCTATTCTAACCTCACCACATTCAAAATATAACTTTTTTCTTTTTTTCTTAAACTCACCAATGCTGCATTTATTTGATCAAAAATACAGTAAAAAAGTGATATTGGGACAAATGATTTTACCTTAAAACAAGAGTTTTCTATATCAATACAGAAAATATGCTGATATTCTAATATGCTGACTTGATGCTCAAGAAACTTTTCTTATAATTATCAATGTTGAAAACAAAGGGTGCTGCTTAACATTTTTGTGGAATTTAATTTACAGGATTATTTGATAAATATAAAGTTGAAAATAACAACATGTATTTGAAATAAAAATTATTCTGTAACATTATAACTGTCTTTACTGTCACTTTTTTATATCAATTTAATGTGTCTTACTCTTTGCTGAATAAAAGTATTACTTTCTTTCAGAAAAAGTCATACTAACCCCAAACCTTTTTAACGGTTTATTTGAAAAATTATATAAAATTAAACTGTTGATTTTCTAAAAGTCCAAGGGCTTGTATCTGAAGTTTGGAATAGGCTACACACATATTTTGGCTGCATCACCTTGAGGGGTAATGGAAAGCCCTGCAGTCATTAGGAACTGCTGTTGATCTTGAAATGTGCACCCAGGGGTCTGAAGAGAAATGTGCTGATTCATGATGTCTGATCGAGGAGTAAAGACAACAGGAAAGGGCACAAACTCCCACCTCCCAGGTGCAATTCATTTCCGAAAGCGAAAGGGCTTTACTGAGAACAGGAATGGGCAGTACTAATTCAAAAAAAAAAAAAAAAAAAAAAAACTGCTTTGGTGCCTTTAGATGATAGACTCTTTGTTGTCAGAGATTGTGTAGCATCTACAACAACGTCAACCACAGCAACTTTTCTGTAAACTGTAACTGTTTAAGCAAATTTCCCAAAACCTTGTAAGAGCTGTGTCCACTCAACATCGCAATCTCATTTGAAAAATGCCACTTGGCAGACATTTCATGAGAGGACTTTGCTGTTGCTGCAGAAATGAGGCACTTAGTGTCTCGAATTTACAAGAGCTTCATCAGTCTTAAGTCAACACTAGCTCCTATTTCGGGTTTGTTGCTAAGGAATGGGATTTGTGTTGCCAATTTGTAATTGAGTTGACTCTGTAACAAGAGTGTAGGAGGAATGAGCAGAGAACAGCCCTGCTAACTCAGGGAATATGAGTCTGCCAATAAGTGGCTATACTAAGAGTGCCTGGATTTCATTAATAGTACTTTTTCATGATAATTAATCCGACATCTTAATTATCTATCTATATTTATCTTCACGTGTACTGCTACATGCCTCACACTTACTTTAAAGGGGTCATACAGCATCACCATTTTATTATTCCTCGAGGTCCACTTATAATGTTATTCATGTTTTTTTTTTTTCTTGGAAAAAACATTGCAATTTTTTTCTACTCTCTACTGAAACTTTTTCTTTTTTTTTTTTTTTTGCTCTGCTGCTGCATTTTAGACTTCTTTGTAAAACTGCATGAAAAGAGGAGAGCATTCTGACCAATATACTCTGGTACACAGCTGAAAAATCCGGGAGATTCCTGGATGGAAACATAGAAATCAAACTAATTTGAATGTACGCAGCTTAAAAGCAATGGGCTATATGCACGCATAACTTCCGCGTTTGATGCAAGGATGCTCGTGCGTTTCCGGTTGGGGAGATTTAAAGCGGAGGAAAACCGAGGAAAATGGGATTATGGCAGAGTCTTCAAAATTTACTGTCCTCTCGTCTTTGAAACGAAACTTTAATACGTTTAGATGTAATTTTATATATAGTTATGTTTATTTAATATAATAAACAAAGAAGCATAAACAAAACGAGGGGTGTCTGTTTTGTCTGTTTTTGTGACTAAAGTTTCTTTAATATAGCAATAGAGTATAAAAACCAATATAAATTCTCGGTATAGCATTGGACTCTACGATCGGCGGACGTAATCCTAGGCGGTGGGCCAAGTCCGTCTATCTCGTTTAGTTTTTGATTTGATAGTTACCCAGCAGCTGTGTGGCTCATTTTTTTTTATTTGTCTGTATGAATCATTCACAAAAAGATTACCGATTGTTTCCAACGCCAATTGTTGCACATTAAAGTATAAAAAATAGATTTAATTTCGCTAGCTGATAACAAACGTTGGCCGGAGTGAGATCCAATCAACGCTTGTGTTGTTACCTTGTTGAATTGATTTGGCCAATCACGTTATTCGTTGAACCGGCGTCGCGTGACTCGAGTCAGAGTCTACAACCCAACCTGGAGAGACCGGTGTGTCTCGACAAGACAACGTCAAGGTAAGATTTGTTTTATAATGATTATACACCCCTATATCTTAATGCTTTTCATATAAGTTGTATTTAAGACTGCAAGCTATACTTCGTCGTGAATAAATGCGTTGTCGTTGATGAGAACAGTAGCCACGAAAGAATGTTGGTAGTGGAGCAGTAAAGCTAGGTCTAACGGTATGTTGCTTAGGCTAATCCAAAATAATCATTCGGTACATACACAATAAACTAAGCAAAGAGTATTCAAATACGGGATAATTACTGGAAAATATTTAAACGGAAGACAGCAGGAAATAATTTGACAGGTATGTCCAGGTTGGTTTGGTTACAGCAAGCTACCTAGGCTACAAGTAAGCTAGAATAATTATCAGCTAAAAAGAGTGC